CCTAACCCTAACCCTAACCTAACCCTAACCACTCGGGCGGTGTAACCCTCCCAAAAGCAAACACTCGTGTCTCGCTTCTGCGAACGTACAAACTTGGAAAGGACAGGTGTAACGCAGATGTCACATGGGAGGTGACAGCGTGACGTGCGTGACAGCGCGTGACACATAGTCTGGCACGGCCTGTACGCCGAACGGTTCCGCCAAATATTCTAGTTTTATTGCAGAAGCATAACAGGCCATGTGATAATCTATTGCCAGACGCGCGAGGAACAAAAGTGAGCATTTAATTAGCAAATGACCCGCTAAATGTAGGTTACAATTGATGGGTAACTGGGTAATTGATGGGTAATCGGTGGGTAATCGATGGGTAAACGGGTAATCGATGGGTAACTGAGAGAGCCAAAAGGGTGTCGCGCCGCTCAGGAGGGCGCGCCCGGGCGGCGATTTGAGTGGCTTGCCTGGGCATTAAGAGTGGGACTTGGTGGCTTTTGGCTGGGATTACCCGATTACCCGATTACCCGATTACCCGATTACCCGATTACCGGGTAATCCGAACACGGTACCATGTTCGGGGTATCATGAAGTTAGGCATACCTTCTTGTTCCTTTTGATTGTAGCTCCAGCAGCAGTCCCTCTAAAGGAGGGTACTCTGACTGTGAAACAGGGCGGTTGGGGCTTTCTTTCCCCAACCCTGTAGGCCCAGTACCCCGCACTCACGCTCTCAAGGCGTTCTTCATTGATATACTCCTCCCTAACCCTAAGCGAATGACCCGCTAAATATAGGTTACAAATAAGTTCTTAGCGCATGGTACCCACAACAAGTTGTCGTGTCATCTACCAGTCAACATCTGAGTATAAGCGGGGCAGGGCTACAAGAACTGTGATATTTTTGTCTGCTACTAGCCGCTGAAGATCGTGTCACCCCGGCTTTTGATCCGGCCTGGTCACATGATCACCCAAGGCACGTTGGGGGCAAGCCCCAACCGCCGCGTCTCCTCTCACCCCAACGTGTCCTTGAGTTACCCAGTGCGTCCCTTGAACTTCTGCACGGTGCGCTTCAAGTGCTGACATTGTAAATGGAAGATGGATCAAGGAACTGAGCAAGATCTCGAATATCCAACTCCGCGCAATATACTCGAGATGGGTCCTATCGGCGCCTACTCTTCCTCCTCGGCGCTACCAAATTTACCCACTCAACGATTGACGGAGATGCGGGTGCTGCTGAGTAGGCTGGAAAATAGTCGATTGCCTGTGTCTCTGCCAAATGAGCTCTTGTCCATCATATTTCGGTATCTGGCAAGTCTGGATCCCCTTATCCCAGACCCGCCGCTTTACGGAGCTGTTGCCTCTCGTCAGACATCCGCCTCTTTAGCGGGGACGAACGTCTCTCATGTCTGCAATGCCTGGCGAGAGGCTGCTCTTACGGACAAGACCCTATGGGCCTGCTCTGCCATAAGCGCCCTGGATGGGATACAGTGGTTCCGGAAAAGGCTCGAGAATGCAGGCTGGCGTCCAGTCACAATTATCTTACGAGCGGACAAAAATATTCCACAGATGTGCGCCCTCATAACGTCTTGCATTCTGACGCAGCTGGAAAGCCTGCGCGTCATGATTGACGGAAGAGATGATGTGATGGCCATACCATTCGATGATCTCCATGCTTTATACCCGCCCAGCCTCCGCAGCCTTCACATACACCTCGAGCACCACGGTCAGAGCGCGATCTGGATGCCGGACATGCCCAATGCTTTGAATCCCAACTGCCCTAACCTTCGCAACGCGTACTTTCACAACTTCAACATCTCACTGCAACATCCGCTGCTCATCCCGCAACTCACACACCTCACACTCGCAATCGATCCTGACGCCATTGAGACGTGGAACCCTCCAAAGTTCCGGGATCTAACCGATATTCTGTCTAGACTCTCCGTCCTTGAGTCTTTCACTTTCCAAGGCGAACTGCAGCGGTTGCATCACGAGGACAACGACATTCCCACGGACACAGATGGGAAGAGAATCGACTGCCCACACCTCCGCGACCTGCTGATCGACGTATATGATCCTTTTCACGTTCTTCTCCTCATGAGCCGGCTCGTACTTGCTCCGACAGCTCGTATGTCCTTCGTCAGTCGGGCTGGTGTGCCTCTCTCGCCGGACCACCCAATGCTATTGCGAGGCTTTAGAAGCCGCATGCTCTCGCAAGAGGACTCTCCCTTAGCTGGAATGAAGACAGTTCAATGGCTCACGTACGCGCCCCACTGGGCAGACGAGCGCGATCGGCTGCACATCGGTCCAGTCCCTCTATGGAATGCGAGGGCCATCGTATGTTCTGCTTGGCGGGCGGGCACGAGCGAGTACCTCAAAGGGGACCTGAAGGGACACTCTGAGCCCCCCCGGCCCGACTGGCAACTGGTCTTTGGCTTGACCGACCAGCATCCTTATGAGTTCTCGCCGGAGGGGCTTATCCCATTCGAGGCATTTGCCGCCGCGGAGTGTATCTCCTTTCGTCAGAGGGAGTTGCAATTGCTGGCGCCATCCGCTTCAGCCTTTGAGGCTCTATTTGGCCACGCGCAGACGTTACAGTGCTTACGCGTCGATCGAAAAGTTGGCACTAGGTTGTTGAAAGAATGCGCCGGGATCATGGCTCGTGGCAGCCACACGAGACCCTTGGGAGGTGTGAAGGAACTATTGGCCTTTGGCATTAATTGGGGTCAGGACTGGACAGGCAACGGCGATGGCGGACCCGACATAACACCATACTACATCAAGCTGAAGGAGTTGATTGAATCTGCACAGACGGCGCTTCAGGACATTACTATTGGGAAAGAATGCGAGGAGCTTGTATATGAAGAAGTAGGCGACAAGATCAGGGTCCATACTGCACAGCTGAAAGGCCCGGAGCGCAACGATTTCTTGTTCGCATTCTAGTCATTGTGGTAGTGCACCCGAGCGTACTCGTGTGCACCGCCCAAGTTAGGGTGAGCTCGGCTAGCGCCGAGAACCCCTATCACGCGCCGCCGCATCAAGACCTCGCGTCGACAACCTGTATCTCTCGTCTTCGACCGCCACCACCATTTCTACTGACGTCTCCAGGTATTCTATTTCTACGGCTACCCCATCCTTCCCCACGATCTCCTCGCCAGGCCTCGGCGCCACGCATCCGCGTCTCTTTACCGGCACCTCGGCACCGAGTGCCTCGCGGTGTGCCTTCACGACTGGCCGCCCGCGCGTTGCACGCGCTACCACCGCTCAAGGCGATGCGAGGGATCTTGGTTTAGGGTGCTGTATCTCACACGCTGTTCCCCTCATACTCTTACGATACGCTCTCGGCTTACTATACTGATCCCGGTCTTCCCTCCCATCTCGATCCCACTTCCCGACGATCGCGCGCCGCTCGAACACCTTCCCTCTTGCTGTCTTCCGAGTTGTGCTCCCCTCTCGTAAAAGTACGTGGGCCTGGGGACCCTACGTACGCTCTGTGCGGGCCAGAGCACGAGGAACGGGTTGAGCCGCTGGAACGAGACAGTCTCCAGCGAGAGGAGGTCTTTGGCGTCGCTAGGTTGTCCGCTCGCCCCTGGTTTCCTAACGGTCTCTTTCTCGGATCTGTCCATTTACCTTTCTGCACGCGCCTCTCGTACGATACCGCTCGGCGCTGCCTGGAGGGCAGGCGAGCTTTCTC